GGCTGTCTTCTTCTGCAGGGAAGACATCTCTTCGTAGCATTGAGACTGCCTTCAGGATTCATGATTCAGCTTTCAGGTTAGTTGTTGATCGTTAGGATGTTTTCATTTTGACTTCATCTGTTGACAAGGCAGTAAGAGCCCTGCGAGGATGTGTATCTCTCCATCAGGTATGACTAATTGCATTGGGACAGCCACGAGCACGATAACACTTCTGTTTTCCTCCAGAACAGCTCCATTACAGACTGCCTGGTAGCTGAGCCCCGGCGAGTGTTTTGCAGGAGTTTTGCTGATTGTGCAGCCCAGATAACCTGTGAGAGAGCAAACATGGAAAGTGTTGAATTCAGCTCAAAAAACAGAAAGCAGACTTGTTTCACTGCTTGTCTGAACTGAGCTTTTAGCTGCATGTTGTCAGTGCTTTTCAGGAAACTCATCTCGTCTGGGACACGTCATCTGGCAATGAAGTGCTCCCATTTAGGGACAGCCACCAGGAGTTGTGCAAAGGCCAGGGCTCATGGCTAGGCACTGATGTTTTTGCAGTTCAGTGTTGTTTTGCTTTCCTCATCTCCTTGGAGAGCAAAACTCAGTCCGTGCAAACAGATTCATTTTTAAACAAGATTTCTCTTAATCTTACACTCAAAAAACAATCTCCAAAAAAGCCAGTGCACAGCAGAAGCTAGTGAGCACTTTCTCTAGATGTTCACTGCTGTTGATCCTTCTTTCTGCAGGAAACCAGAAGTTTTGGTGCAGCCTAAGGGTTGAGTTTAAACTTCTTGTTGTTAAACTAGTTGCCCCCTGCTCCTCAGGATAATAGCTGTGTGTATGCATGAAAGCCACACTTGCATTCCCGAAGAAGTGTGTTGGCACAGATGAGCCTTTGACCTCAATATATCAGCTCAGTGGTCAACAGCCTTATGCAGAAAGAGCTTAGGTGTGCAACTCTTCCACTTGGTGAGTTTAATCTTTGTATGGATTACAGCAGAAAGTTCTCTACAAGAGGCTATGCAGGTTTAAAGCTGTGCTTGCCTTGTGATGAGATCATTGCTCAAGGAGGTTTTTGGTCATCTGGAAGCTGGACTCAAAGCATGCAGATGGGCAGTCTGTCCAGCATAGGGAGGTAGCAGAGATTCTTCCTCTGCCCCTTTTCCTGAGGAGGGAGGCTGGTTTTCTTGCCAGGAGCAAGGCACCCCTTCTGGTTTGGGAGGGCAAGACTACTTCCATCATGATGCTATGGTGGGGCCATAGTTTCTAGCCGGGTGTTAGATGAATTAGTTAGCAGGTCAGTAGTAGAAGGATGATGCACCAGGAGGTAGTCAGTCAGTGTGGACATTCTGAGGGCATTGACTTCTCGCAGCAAATTCACCGAAGGACCATTTCAATCTCCTTCTCCTCTCCTTGCTATATTGACTTTGTTGTTTGTTGTTGGAGGACAGGTGTTACCTAAGGGTATCTGAGCAACTGAATAGAGGGGACATGAACTCAGCAGCTGAGGACACTGAGGAGGAGAGTGTTCTCCCAAAAGTGTGAGAAAGCTCTGGATACTGACAGCGAGTGCATGGCATTGTGGCCTTATGGCTGCGATCTGCCCAGGGTGAACGCACTGCAGATGAGGCATCCCTTGCAGGGGCTAAGCCATGTGTCTGCAGCTCTTTTAAAATAAGGCTGCTGTCCCATGTCCCCTGTCAGCACTGAGCATGGTTCCCCTTGCTCCTGTTGGATGCCCTGTGGTGGGAAGAGGATGCATGCTGGCTGCCAGTTCAGGTCTAAAAACGATGTCTGTGCAAAGTCCGTCCTTGTCTGGACTCCAAGGGGCTGCAGTGCACAAGGCCTTCACACAGTTTTCTTAACAGGCTCCTTTTCACTTTTTCCAGGGACTTGCACTGTGCTTCGTTTCAGAGTGATCCAGTGAATTAACATATTGTTTCTGCTGCCTGGGTAATTGCATGCCCGGGGTCTGCTCTGCTCCAACACAGTCTTCCCAGCTTCCCAGACAGAAAGCATCCTTCTCCTCTGGCAAACAAGGCTGCAAAGTATTGCCCTAAGAACTAGCTCAAAGGATGGAGGAATGGGAGGGTGGAAGAGAAGAGGGAGGTTGTTTCTTAAGGCATATCTGGCTTCAAGAGCTCACCTATCAACAAGTAGGAGATGGCTTTTTTTAATCTTTATTTCTATACCAAGGTACTAATTCTGACTGAAGCTGTGGTTTCTCTTGCTGATTTGTGCAGACATTGGTATGGGTGCAGTTACAGAAATTTAGTTTAGCACAAGTCACTACAGGGACTCAGAACTGCTTGAAATTAGCTGTCCTGGATCACACAGGAATTTCAGCAGAATTTGAAACTGAGCGATCTGATACCTTCTTCTGTACTGAAAATAAAACCCTATGAATAGGAAGGTGTAAAAATGCTTGCTGGTATCACTTCCAGGTATAAAAAACCCCACATGTGGATAAACCCTTAGAGCCCTGTAAGACCCTGTGAGACTAGATCACATCTCAAAACACATTGGTGAGCATATTGTCAAAGCTGGCAGGTTTCTTAATGCGGATGCAAGTTTGCATTTTTGAAAGATGATATTTGATCAAGACTGACTTCTGGTGGGGAGCTGGCATCCCTTAGGCAATGGTTTCCAGGAAGAAATATGGTTATATGCACTATGAAGAGGGCAGCTTTACCTCCTAGCTTGGCTTGGCTATCAAGCGGAGGCATGAAGAGGACAGGGAGCAAGCATCAAGACTGTGGGATAGAAGGAAGGTGGTTACTCTGCAGCTCTGCCACTGACCTCCTGGGTGACCTGGGGTGAGGAGATGAATCTCTCCTTTTCCACCTCCTCCTCTCCTGCCCACCAAGTGCATGTGACAGTTGCCTTGTGATTTGTATGGATCTGTCTGAGAAGACAGAGCTCCGTACTGCTACCTGTAAGATCTCTTTTCATTTTGGTTGTGACATTTCTTGTCTTTTAGCCATATAAGTTATTTTGACTGGAAACAAGACATTACTCCAACACCCTTTATGACACAAGCAATGGAGAGGAGGGGACAGCTGTATTGACAGTGTAGTTTGCTCATCCTGCACCAGAACATCGCAGTTTGTGGGGCAGAGGAGGTTTCTTGAGGCCTCTCCATCCTGTGAAATAGAAGCTGCAGCCTGTGCATTATGGAGAGCTGTTTTGTAGTGTGCTGTACATGGGCCTTAGGCAGTCCTGCTTGTTCCAAAAACGTGTGCGTGCATAGGAGAGGGAGGTGGTCCTGTGTGTGCTGCAGATGGATCATGGGCAAAGATTCCTTGGCCAAACTGAGATGAACAGCTACATGTGGATCACTGTGAGACTGCATGCAAGAGTGGGGTTTGTCGTGTCCTGAGGGGAATATAAGGTGTGGTGGCAGCAGTACCTTCTGGGCCTTCACTGTCTTGGGATATGGTTGTTTCTCCAAGTCTTTCATTTGGATGATATCGTGGTCCTCGAGCACCGAGTGATTCCCACCCTTTCCTCCAAAGCCTTTGCACTGGTGGCAGCTAGAAGATGGCCTGTAGGATAATGTAGGCTGAAAGGGATCTTGGGTGGGTCAGTTGTGAGATCAGACCAGGTTGCTCATGACTTTATTTGGTCAAGTTCTGCTTTATATGAACCTGGCTCTGTGTTCTCAGTAACTTCCCTGCAGCCGCTAGGGCTGCTGCTGGATTCCTCAAAGCCATCTCTTGCCCTGGTTAAGCAAGCCTAGCTCCCACACCCTCTTCTCTTCAGCCAAGTCCACCAGTCCCTGGCCATCCTGGTGTTCCTTCACTGCACTTGCTCTAGTTTGTCGGTGTGTTTATTGTACATGTTTCTTGCACCAAAACTAGGTGCAGTATCTAGATACAGTCAGGTGAGTACTGAGATCTCCTGCCTGTGCTTCTGCTTCTTCAGCCCAGCATGCTGTTGGTCTTTGCTGCGGTTTCTTTACTAAGGTCCCAGTTGGCCTGTAGTCCCAACAACTCCCATTCCAGCCCTCAAGCAGCAGCAGAGCTGCTTGGCTGGGACACTGGGCTGGGCCTAGATGATCACTTAAATAGGACCTGTAACTGTACTGGGAAAGCCTGAGGGAAAAGGAGCATGGAGGAGCCCTGGAGTGGCAAAGACCTGCTATTCTCCCTGCTAGTGATATGGGCTTCCACAGGGAGAGGGACAGAGCCCAGAGAGATGAGGCGATGACCTGAGTTCTGCAGAAAAAAGCCAAGAGGTGTATTGTTATAACTACCATCGTCTCACTTACTCATCTGTAAAGCAAGATTTTACTCACCATTGTGCTTCCCGTGGGGCTATGACTGTTCATGGCCACAGATAGCTGAGGTCCTGCAATACCAATGCAAAGGGTTGTGGAACAAATCTTGCTTTTTGGTCTCTCTGCTGGGGTTGAAGCACGTCTCCTGGTAGCCATATGCAGAGGAATAGTATGTATCTATGTATGTGTACCATACTGAAACAAAATGCTGCAATTTCATGCTGTACTGCCAAGTTAGTGTGTGAGTTTCAAAGCAGCAACCTATATTCTTTAAGATCCAAGAGCCTTGGGAAAAGATCCATTTTTTTATGCTGTACTAATTTAAAAAATGCTGGGGTTTTTTTAGTGCATCAAAGTAGTAATAAAAGACAAAAAGGAGAAAGAAAAGACAGAAAGACCTGTAGAATCATTTTAAAGGTTTTCTGCTTTTCTGTTCATGTTCTTTTCAGGGAATGAAACTGACTATATATGGATAGGAATAAAACCACATATCACAAGCCACTGTTGAGTTCATGAAGTGACCACATTGAAAAAGTAGTGAAAAATGTGTTCTTACTAGAGCCTTCCCAGCCTGTAGGAATCCTGGCTGTGGCTTGTGATTGTAGTAGGGTGAAAATTTGCATTTTCTAGTTGGTGGTTTTCCTTTTTACTCTTCCACTTCCTGTAAGTTAATTTGGTGCTGTGTTAATTGTGAATCTGGAATGCAAATCAACTCACCTGCATGTTTTTCTTTTATTTTCAGATTTTCTAACTATGGAAGCTCTCCTGAGGAGCTACATCACACACTGCTGCCCCTGGGATGGGATGCAGAGCAGGAAGTGAAGAGGAGCTGCAATGTGCCACTGCAAGTTGCTTTCTTGAGGAGAGAGGCTTTCTGGCATGTCATACAGTGCCAAAAGCCATTTTACTCTTGACAGTAAAAATCCTTATCCTTCTTGTGGTTTTTTTTCCAGGACAGATGATATTTCCTGTTAGAGATGCTTTGTATGCAAATCAAAGTAGTACAACAAGAAAAAAAGTCCTGAAAGCAATCACACTGATAAACTCAGCCCACTGGGGAATTCCTGCTTATCATTTATCTTTTCTTTTTTTCAGTTCTGTACAAGATACTTCTTTGCCTCTGCTTTCTTATGGTCTTTAAAGTTTGTCCTGCCAGACCTCTTACTCATGAACTACAGTGCTACTTGCATTTTGCAGGGCTCCATGTCAATCTGAACAAACAAAAGGCAGTAAATGCTGAAGATTGGTGTTAACAGTCCCTGTGTTTTATCTTTGCCCTGCATTGCTCTAGTGCTTTCTGAAGTTTAAGCTAGACATGAACCTCACACTGCAGATTGCCACATGCCTGTAGTGATGGTCTACTTGGGAAGCCCAGAAACTTTCAGAAAGCTCAGGAAAGGAATGAGGAGAGGTAAAAAGCAAAAAGAAGCCAGGAAAAGTTTACCTAGTAACTTACACAGGAGCAGGATTTGACCCTCCTGAGGCACCTCAAGAAGTGTTGTGCACAGCACTACACTAATGCCGTGACATGAGTTGGTCACTTCCTCACTCAGCAAAGCAAATTCACATAGAATCACAGACTGGTTTGGGTTGGAAGGGACCTTAAAGATCATCTAGTTCAACCCTTCTGCCATGGGCAGGGACAGCTTCCAATGGACTGGGTTGCTCAGAGTCCCTTCCAACCTGGCCTTGAATCCAGGGATGGGAAATCCACAACTTCTCTGGGCATTTGCCCAGTAGGTATCCCTATAAGTGCAAGGGGCTCATCAAAGCCTTACTCACACCAGGCTCCCACCCTGCTGCCAGCTGCAGAATTGCACTGTTGCTACAACAAGTTGCGAGGGTGAAAAAAAGACTCGTAGAAACAGCGCGAGAAGAGGACGTGTCAGAGAGCTGCAAAACTTCGTTGCCAGAGAACATTCTCGTGTGTGTCCAGAGATAGCCACTGCAGCCTGGGTGTTGTTGAATCACACTGTGGTTGCTCTGGCCTTTCTGTGGTCACAGTGATAATCGTTGTGTGTGGTGTTGGGTTTTATTATTTGGGTTTTTTCTTAAAAGTAAAATTAGCAGTCAAATTGGTGTTGGTAAGGCAGCAAGCCTGGTGAAGCTTTATCTACCCTGAACCTGGGGATGAAGGAGGGGAGGAAAATGGCTTGACCAGTTTGTCAGCTGTGCATGTAACGGTCCCGGAGTTCGAAGCAAAGGGCACAACAGTCAGATACCCAAACCCGTCTGGGCTCTGGCTGATAAGTCACATTTCAAAGTGAAAGGCAATCCTAAAGGGGCTCTGCTGAGTGACTGAAGCCTCCCTTGCTAAGTCTTCTTTAAAAGGGGATTTCATAAGGAGTAATATGAACAGAAATGGCTCTTTTGTGGTTTTACACATTCCAGGCATGCCAGGACTGTTCCTGTCAAGGATGGGCAGTCTCTGGGGTTTTGGGTTCTTTTTTTTTCCCCAAAATATTTGCCACAAACTAGCAGCTGAAATGGTGAAAAATAAATGAGAGTTGCAAAATCATTACAGTAGCAGTAATGGAAACTGTGAGGCTTATTCTTAAACTGGCTGTGGGGTTTCAGTCCATATTCTGTGCTGCTGCACTGTGAGGATCACTACTTTTGACACCTATGACCGCTTCAGGATGGATGATTTGAAAGCAGAGCTTTAACTGTTGGTTACCCAGAACCTCAAAAAACAGTGCTTTAGGCTTTTTTCAGAAGCAATACCTTTTCTGCTGAACAGTTAAGCATGAATTCCTTCAGAGTTAGTGCCATTACGTGACCATACAGCATCTTTACTTTATGACAGCATTGATTTCTGCAGATCTGTGGGTACAGAAACAGGTTAAAGCCATTCCTGCTTCAGATGAGCTTTCATTTCACGCAGGTTGTACCAGTTTGGATTGTACCTGTACACTACAACACAGGATTTTAATTGATGTGAGAGCTTCCACGCACAAGATGGTGGTGCCTTAAACCTTAAAGAAGAGTACCTTAACTCTGCCTTGAAACAGTCTGAAATTTCACATAGAATAAAGCACTAGATGGTGTGTGTAGACCTGGCCTGTTAGAAGAGTGCCTAGTTCGTAAGCCTACATGTCCTGTTCTTCTCCCCATGGGTGCTGCTCCTGTTGCCATAGTCCTGTGTCCTGTGTAGGCATCAGGAGCTCATGGATGGCTGGGAAAACCATGGCCAGAGGTGTTACTGCTGTCACCTCATTAGACTGGGTGCCACAAAGAGTATGGCTGTAACAGTGTGTAATTAAATGTGGGCCTCAGGCCCCTGAGACACCTTACACAAACACTCAGTGCATTTATCATCAGCATATGCTGACCACAGCCAGCTCAGCACCTCCACGAGCTGGAACTGCATCTTTACCTTCTCTGCAGGTGAGACTAATCCCTCCAGGGGAGAGCAGAAAATGGAGCCAGACTCATCCCAGCAGAGTCTGAACCATGGAACTGTAGATAGACATTCTGAGAATTTGCTTTCCAGCCTGAGTTTGTCCATAGCACAAATGCAGGCAGAAAGTAAGAAAGCATCTCTTTGAAAGTGGCAATAAAAGAGACACTGTTGGAATGAACCTTCTGTTCTGATTTTATTAAGGGTGAATATGGTTACTTAGTGATGAACAGGAATAGGAGTGGCTTTAGGACATGGTGCCTGAAGCCCCCTCCCATCCTCCAACACAGAAGGCTGAGAGGTCTCAAGGCTGAGAGGTCTCAAGAAGGCTGAGAGGTCTCAAGGCTGTCACCTGGGCTGTTACAGCTCTATGGGTGGAGGAACTGTAATCATCAGGGTTGTCGTCAAATGCACTTACCAAGATACAAGGAAGAAGAGCTTGTATTAAGTCAGTGCTCAACATAAATATTTGTCGTCTTAGAGGAGTGGGTTCCGTAGCCTTCTGGACTTCTTCCATTTTGGGTTTGTTTCCTTAAAAAAGGAAAGAAAAAAATAGAGTTTTCTTTACCCCATCAGTGCTACCAACCACAGAAATTTGGAAACAAAACGTCAGAGCGGGTATTCAGCAGTGAGCTGTCTTTTCAGTGGACCGATCTCTCAAGGATTGGTTTTGAAGTTGATTTTGTTCTGTCCACTCAAGGTCTCTGCTGTGGGAATATTTATTGCTGTGAAACTGTAGCAGGCTTTGTAAATGGCAGTTACTTTTGTAACCAAACATACGTGCTTTGCTTATGAGTCCGGCAGATAAGTGTGCATTTGGAATTTTTTTGTTTGTTTTGAACCAAAATAACTTTTCCGCTGTGTCATCTGGAGTGGGAAAATGGGTGGACCTTGAGTTGCATTTTAATGTAGATTTCATCCATTTAATCACAGTAGAAGGCTACATAGAGATGCTCTGTTATCCTTCTCTTTCCATGTACTTTGTTGATGTTTTGTGCCTCAGAACCTCTGTTTTCTCTCTTTTTGAAGGTTTGAGAGTTTTGATAGAGAGAACAAAAATGCTTAAAAATTGTAATGGCCTTGGGAAGGCTACAGCAAGTTATGTGGTGGTGAAGAGATGCAGGCAACCTGTAGAAGAGCCAGTTTTTGACAGCATGGGAAGTGGTTAGCGCCTCATTGGACATCCTCACATCAAAGCTGGACAGTGGGCTGGTTGAGATACTCTGCTTGAACCACAAATGGCTGAGATTCAGGCAGAAATCACTGCATGAAATTCTGTGGTCTTTATTAGTCAGGAGGTCAGACAAAATAATTTTGCTGGTTTCTCTTGGCTTTTAGAATTTATGAATCACATAGTCACGCTGTTTTGGATTTTAGTTTTGGTTTGGGGTTTTTTTTTGATTTTCCATGAAAAGTTTGCCTTGGTAGCATGCAGACAACAGAACCCATCTGTTCTCTCATCCTTTCATCATGCGGTGTTGCTTCCGAATTGTTCCAGAAGGAGGATGAAATTGGGCTTGTTATTTAAATTTCAGTATGGGTGGCCAAAGCAACTCTACCTTGATTATTATGGGCCTTCCATGACCACAGGAATGAATGATGCCTAATGTCAGCCCTGATTTAACAAACATCTGAGGACAGGCTAATCACTGCAGCATAACCCAATGGGAATTGCGTCCCATGGGATCCTGCAGCAGGGCAAAGACAGAGGAAAGCTCAGTTTGGGAAATCACGGAGAAATGCAATAACTGGAGGAAAGAAGATGAAAGTCATGTGACAGAAACATAAGGAAAATAAAAATAATGTGAAATAATATCACTTTCTTGCCCAGTATGCAGAATTGAAATGCAGGCACAAGCAGAGCACTGAAACAGGGTAGGTTTAAATTAGAAACTAGGTACTAGGAAGAAATTCTTTACTGTGAAGGTGGTGAGGTTGCCCAGAGAGGTTGTGGATACCCCATCCCTGGAAGTGTTCAAAGCCAGGTTCGATGGGGCCCTGAGCAGCTGGGTCTAGTGAAAGGTGTCCCTGCCCATGGCATGGGATTTAGAACCAGATGATCTTTAAGGTCCCTTCCAACCCAAACCATTTTATAATTCCATGGCTTACTACCTGCAGCCCTTTCCTCCCTGCCAGATGGGGCTAGTGACTTGGTCCCACCTGGCACTGGGAGGTTTTAGCAGTTCAGTGACATCCCAAGCTTGACTTATCTTTGCAGCAGCTTGGACCCACTTTCCATTGTAAGAAAGAAACTCTTCCTGTCCTATAGCAAGACTTCTATCCAGACCTCAGCAGGACTTCAGTCAGATTTTCAGGGTTTCAAACTGGTCTAGATCAATAGACCAATGTCCCGTTTGTAGCAGAGCCCTGGTATGTGTGACAAGACCGTTTGATGCACTCAAGGCTTGCTGGCACTTTGCCAGGCATCATGGGACAACCTGTATCTGCAGGGCGTAAACTCTCCTGATTTCTATGTTGGGGGACTGCAACAAGCTGGTTATTGGGAATGGTCCATGTTGTCCTTCGTTCAGCAATGTGCTGGATACATGAGCCAAGAAGGTGAGAAGTGTAACATCTGAGATGATTTGAATCCCCATGTTTTGGAATATCCCCTCACACTCTTTAGTAGTAAGGATGTAATCAGCCCTTGTAGGCTGGTATGTGATTAAATAGCACCAACACAAAAAAACCCCCTACCTTACACTTATTTATGGCAGTTGAATGTGCGTAGTTGGGAACAAAGAATTCAGGTTTTGTCTAAAGTCTTTGTGATCCCATCTGGAAAGCACAGTGTAGGGAGGGAGTTCATGGGAACCTCGTGTATAATCATGTGAAAGCGACCTCTCAATGGAGCCGTGGGACAGAATGGACTTCGGCAACTCTGGAGAGCAAGTAGAAGCAGGGAGGTGACTTCTTCCCTTTTAAAGGGAGACACATTCCCTGGTGTCTGCACTTGATGAAGGAAGGGGAAATGCCAGGAATAATTTAAAGGAAAGCCACAGATGACTTGGGATTGCCAAACCAGAACGCCAGGCTTGAGGAGCACAGTGTATTTGGTTAATTGGGATGAAGGTAGGCAAAGGGGTGACTTGATTGCCATGTCTAGTGGAGGAGAAGTTTTGTTCAGTAGGTTTGGGGTAAGGAGGAACGCTTAGAAGTTTTATGTCCTTTTCCAGATTTTAGAGGAAATAACAATGTCTCTCTAGGGTTGTAGGTTTAGTCTATAATATTGGGTTTATTATGTAGAGGTCTTGGGTGAAAGGGACTGATGTGCAGTGTACTAAAGGTGGGGTGGGTCATTTGGGTCTTTCTGCCTTTATGCTCAGAGCTCTGGTACTCCCCAGCACCTTCCTCCCTTGATCCCTGGGCTAGGTCAGATCTGCTGCAACACTGAGCATAGTGTAAACTATCAGGTCAAAATGCTTTGGAGCAGTCTCATCTTAAGGCAGGCATCTAACATATTGGTTTCCCTCTGGTGATGACTGTTGTCCTCCAGCAACTATGTGGGAGACCAGAAAGCTGGCTAAGATGTGGACTCCTGCACTTTGGATGTCTGAAGCTGCATGGGGTGAACACCCCTCTCACTGCCTGCATGAGTGAGCAGGAGTTACTGGAACAAAGCACCTAATTCAGAACTGTCTGACACCATCCTAGATGAAAATAATATGGAAACTTTAATCAGCTCTCTGCAGCTGAGCAGTCCCTGGAGGTCCTGTACCAAGCCTGACCCACTTGCTGAACCCCAGCAGTGCAGCACTGGGCACTGCACCTGCTTTCAGAAGAATGAAAGGACAGCAATCTGAAAAGAGACAAGCACAGGGGACGGCAATCTGTGGTAAGTCTTTATTTAGAAAGAGTTGGGGTATTTTGTTTGTTATTAAAAAGCAAACCCACATTCTGCAGCCTTTCTTTTTGTGAGCTGCTTGGAAAGGAGGCAGATGTCCACAAGGTTTGTTTTCAACCTGTTAAAATGATTTGCCAGTTCTTTCCGTGCACTCTGGCTTGTTGCATCCAAGTCTCTCCAGACATGCCATTTTGGGGAAGCAGCTATGGGTGCATGTCCTCAGGGCTAAGTTCCAACAAGGTAACTGTCCTGGGGCTGCTCCATCCCAGGCTGCAGCCTGTTTTGCTGTGATGGAGGGAGGGCTCTTGCCAATGGTGAGGAGCAGCAGGACTTTTGCCAAATGATTTGCTGCCAAATGGTTTGCTGGCAAAATGGCCTGCAGCAAAGGCTGATGAACCAATGCTCCCAACCCTAAACTCCTCAGAGGTGTGATCACTTTGCCTCAACATCAGATTAGGGTATCTGAGTGGATAAAGCAACAGTCAGTAAAAATCAAATCCAAAATCTCTGGGCTTTGAGAAGATGATGTCAGTGGACTATTTGCAGCAAACCATAATCTATATGCTCCTTCCAGGAAGACATTGCTGAGAAGAAGATTCCCATGTGCTCTTCAGAAGGGCTGCTGAGCTGCCAAAGAAGCACCACGCTTTCTCCTTCCTGTGTGTACCCATCCTGCTGGCTGCAGCTGGGGTGCTACCAACCCTTGCTGGATCCCGAGAGGATGCAAGGCTCTGTCACTCCCTGGCATGCTGAGGCCTGGCCAGACTCCCCAGGCAGAGCGATGCTCCAGGGCCTCTGGACAACCTCCTTCCTGGGCACAATACACCTTGATTTTCTGGTGTTTTTTCTTATTTTTTAATTTTGGCTGATTGAATAACTGAAGTACAAACCTCCTTCACCTATTTGACATTAATTCACTGATGGATGGCAGAATGTTTCATGTTTAGTTTTTAACCCGTGGGGCGGTGATGTGGTTATAAGCCTCACATCCATGGTGTATCTTTGAGCAATCTGAAAAGTGTGAGTTTTTACAGAAAACATGAGAATGGTGGGGGAGTGTGGGATAAATTTTTTTAATCCCTGAATTTCATTCTAAGTTTTGAACAAATCAGATGTATTTCATGGGACCAAAAAAGCTGTGATTTTCCCCCTTTTCTTTCTTCAGTGTTGTTTTTTTGTTTTGTTTAGCTTTTTTTTTGGAATTAAAATGTTTACTCACATATAAAGGTTTCTGTAAGTTAATTGCATTCTGATAAACAAGCTGATGTCGAAAGAAAAGTGAAGATGAGGAGAGGCTAAGCATTGGGTTTTGGTTATCTCCAATTTTTTCCTTTTTATTTAAGCTTCAGCAAAATGGCAATTTGACCCACTTTGAAATCCCATTAGCGAATAAGTACAGAATGGGAAGGGTAATCATGGAAACTTCAAAATGCAGCAGGTCAGGACAGGAGAGACTAGCAGCAATCCTGCTCTGATGGTGTGCCCAGACTTGGGTGTTTTAGTGTATCTTACCATATTTTTTGTGTTACCAGTAATGAATTTTCAGTCACTGAAAGGGGATGAGGAAAAAAGGGAGCCCCCAGTGCTTCTCTCCCCATTTTCCTTGGCTCCCTTTGATATGACAGCAGCATGTGCTTCTCACAGTCCCAGCTGCATCAAGCACTTAGTTCTTGTGTAGAGCCCATCAGCGCAGATAAATGCAGACAGACAGACAGACAGATGCTTGCTCTGGTCCCTGAGCTCTGGAGCTTGCCATTAATGCCAAGGCTGAGCTCAAAAAGCCTTGCTCAAAGGAAGGGTATATCACCTTCAGTTAGCTGAATGGGAGCTCAGCTGTAATGCCAGGGCCCAGTGAGCTCACCCACATCTCTTCTGACCTGAAGGAAGATGGACCTTTGGCTATGATTCATCCAAGATTTTGCTAAGCTGCTCTTCTCCACAGCAGCTCTGCCTTTCTGCTTGCAGGGAAGGCATGCCAGCAGTTTCATCTGAGTTTGGAAAAATCATCTCCACAGTTGCTGTCTTCTTGAAGAAGCAGCAGGAGAACCATGTTTGATTTACCTAGGGAAATCTGTTGATCTTGATGGATTTTGTTTGATTTGTACTAGCTGAGAAACTGACCCTTGCTTTTGTCAGAAAGGCTGTTCAGCACACACAGGCTGCATGGTTTGTGATTGGTTCAGGAGTTTAGTGGCATTTCTTCATCACTATCAAAACAGTTCACTTTCTCATGACTTTGACATTCCCAGTTTTGGTCTTACAGCAGAAGCAGAAGCACTTTTTCTTCCATGAGTCCCTAATATTTTTTTTTACATTTGTCAGATAAAGGGAAGGGTGATCTTAGTGTTACAGCTCCTGAGACCTTCCTCACTGTCATCCTCAGCCAGTGCCTAGGAAAGGTGCAACACGAGCTGGTTATATACAGAAAAAGAGGGATTTTTGAATGGTTGATATGAGGGAATATTTCAGTCTCTGCCTGTCTCTGCTTTTCACACTGTGAGATTGAGACTGCCTGTCTTCTGTCCTTATTCCCATTTTGGTGATAGGAAAAGGCCAGCTGAGCAGCTACAGAAATGGTAGCAAACCCAGAAGGCATGTGGGATGCTGATACAGCTCCCCAGTGTTTGGAGTGATGCTCCTGGGAGTGCCCAGCCTGGGGCTAGCATGGCAATGACACCATTGGAGTGGCCCTCTGCTACCTGCTCTGGTCCTTGTAGCCCCAGGGTATGGAAATACTATCAAAACTTAATGCTGTCTCAGCCAGGTCAGCAAGGAAACAGCACTCTCTGCACATAATGTGAGGGAGATATGACTCTGCTTGCCTTTTGAGAGCTGCCTAGAGTTTGTGCTCAACTCCATATCCAAAGCCTCCCTTTTGCTAGTGCCTGACCACCAGGTGAAAAGCAGAGCTACAAAATCCCTGTCCCCGGCCATCTGCAGAGAGAGAAAAGTTACCCAGGGACCAGCTCTGGCATTGGTCCCTAAAGCTTGTGAAAGTATTACTGCTCCCAGCTGTCCTGTCTGTCCTGTGCTTGTCCAGTCGTGTTTATGAGCCTCTGCAGCAGATTGGGACTGGGAATCAAAGGGATAAAACACAGTTTGGGGTCTGTGAACAGTTGTGGAAACCTGGGGCAGGGAGATGGGAGCAAGGACTGATAATGTGCTAAGCCACTGCAGGTGCTGCACCAACAGAGAGTGAATCGGCCCCTTGCTGCCCTCCCCACCAACAGGCTCCCTCAGAGACGTGTGATTGAAATGGCAGAGACCTGGGGGAGATTTGTTCCTGTCGTTTTGCATCTCCTCTTACCCTGGTTGGCAGCCATTATTGGATGCATTGCCTTGTGCCAAACTTATTCATAGATGCCTAATCCTCTGCAGCCAACGAGCTCGGTGTCATGGACTTCCTTCCAGGAGCCAGATATGTCAGTACCATTATACATCTGGCTTTTGAGTGACTTGTGCAAGGCCAGGCAGCAAGCTTGTGGCTGAGCAGGTGTTGAAAACTAGCTCTCCCAAGCTTCAGGTTGGCAGCCTTTCCACCAGGAAATCCTTCGTTTAACTTTCCATCACAGCAGATGGAGTTGAATCGATGTAGGAGGGAAGTCTATGTGCTTGTGCATCTCTTCCAGCCTTTCTTCACCTCCCCACACTTCTCCATGAAGGCACCCACTCTCAAGGTAAGAAATATTACTTTGTGTCCAGGAGAGAGCAGAAAGGGAGCTGGATTGCCTCTGGCACCAAGCACTGAAGAAAAGAATGGGATAGTTTTGTGCAGAGTTCAAGGCAGGTTGTGCAAGTTTGCAAACTGCTCCTGTAGGGCTCCATCACCGGCTCTTACCCATGAGAGTCTGTCAGGTGTAGCAGCAGGTTCCTGTGCCACCCCTCACATCTCTCTCCTTCAAAGCGGGAACAAGCTACCCTGGAACAGGCTGACCTTTGGCATAATTATTTCTGTGTTTTTTTCCCCAAGTCGGGGGCACCCAAGTGCAAAACTGAGGAAAGTTAAAGCAACCTCAGCTTTTTGTGAGCTTTCCTTGCAACAGTGACAGGGCTGTTGTTCTGCTCTTGGCATTAAGTAAGAAATCAGTGTTACCATGGGAGCAAACTCCCAAACAGGTGGCAATCACACACATATTAACCTGAACCAGTGCAGGAGGCACCATATCCCCCTGCGGACCCACCAAGGGGAGAGATCTCATCACCCTTTGTTTGTGCTCAGAGTGTGACTGTCCAGAGGATGGTGCCCAAATAGATAAGGGCTTTGGGCACAGATGTCTGGTTTGATTATTCTTTTCCTTTTGCAACAAACCATATGGTAGTATATGGGCTGCACAGATATCTGGCAATCAAAATTCCTGGGCTCCCTCCCTAACTTTGCCATTCGCTCATCTAATTTTCAAAGCTATTTTCAATGAATCAGCAAAACTTGCTACCTTGAACCTCCTCACCCCCTTAAAGCAAGAGCTCCCCCGCATTACTGGAGGTGCTTTTGAATGTAGTCACCACATCTTGCTTCACTATCGCAAAATTAGGTGCACTTAATGCTTGTAAGCTACTTTGGCACCAGCAGATAAAAGGTGCTACAGACAGGTTGCTAATCAGTTTGATTAAGTAAAGCACCTAAAGTTTGCCACTGCTGCTGGAGGATTGCAGGCTGATCCATCTATAACCCGCAGGAGTAAGATGAATTAGGTACGATAAGGATTGTTTGGTTTCTGGTTCGTCAGCCAGTGAATGAAATGACTCGGTGTTTATATGCCAGGTCACAGGGAAAAGTTTCTTGCGATTGGAAATGATTAGGCACACTGATTAATGCTTCCAGTGCTCTTTGATCCAGAGCTGCCAGTTGGAATGAGTCTTCCTGCACGGAGACATCTCAACTGCCTGGTAGCAAAAGTGCAGGGGGTAGAAAATTGACTGAAAAAATGTGGGTGTGGATGGGAAGGCTCTACTGTAAGATATGCTCTTTTTCCATCAGGGGCTCCAGGCTTGCATTCTTTGAACCATCCTCTTATTCCTGGAAGTCAAGGCAGTTTGTAACTCGCGTTGTGCTTGTCAGGTTTATTCATTTTAAAGAAAATGTTCAGGAAGATTGCCAAGTTGTCTAAACTTCCAGCACTGATAAGGACCTCAGGGTCTGCTAAGTTAAGAAGAAAACATCCCAGGTTCAAGAAAAGCTTTCAAATGTAGCACTTTCTGAGTAGGTTCAACTGTTGTGAAACTGTTGTTTTTTCTCTCACCGTGGAGGTGCCATCTCCTTGTGATGGATGTTCCTTCTTTCAGCCATAGGATTTCCCATTTTTAACATTCAATTAGGATATCCCCCTTTTATAACATGTTTGTGAAGTTGTGCTTCGTGCCTGTTTTCAAACCTGCATTATCTTGCTGTGCATGGTCTGAACCAGTTAATATCTAATTGCAGATCATTTTTACAAAAATAGGTGCCTACTCTGCCTATTTTATAATTTCCAGGTGGCTCCATGGTGGCTACTTGGCTGCTGCCTGCCCTGCTACTTTTCTCCCCAGCTTGCGCGGCTGCCCTGGCGTGTTGCTGGCACAGGGGGCAGTAACACAGGGTCTCCTGGAAACCTGTGGATGGGGCCAAGTAAAACACATCTGGGCATCACCCCAAGTACCTCAAAGACTGCTGCACCAAGGGGGTTCCCATTGTCTCAGACATCTCACTGTACTTAATAGTGATAGAGTTGTCTGTACCACCCTCGCTTACAGCAAGCTAGTGGTTGGGGCCAGGAAAAGGAGGAGTTTGGTGCTGGATACTTCTCCAGCTCCTCAGGGTAGGAATCACTGCTTATCGGAAGCAATTTTGCAGAGGTATTTCTATCTAAAGCAATTTTGGAGAAGTATTTCAGGTGTGGCTTCCACGATGGAGACAGTTTCACACGGGTGGAAGCCGTCCCAAAGATGTACCATGGCACTTGTGGCCCCAGTGGTTCCCCAGCCACACGCCACTGGCACTGCTCCAGCTTGTTGCCGTCCTGCTTGCTGCCTCGCTTGCCCGCTGCCTCCCACTGAAACTGGCTCTCCTTTCCTCCTGCCCCTACGTGCAGGACATGAGGTGAGGACATGAGTGATAAACCCACCCTCCTTATCGTGTCCATCTTGGTATGGATCCTAGCAGGGAGACAGTGGGATGGTGAGTTTGAAGGTGCCCAGCCAAAAATTGCACAGCTCCATCATTTGCCTTGTTATGGCTACCACAGTTAAC